AAAACTTATATATAAAATTTAATAACATAAAAATACACATTCTTAGGAATTTTTAGTCAAAATCTTGTCAAATTATACAAGATGTAGTTCAAAATACAACCACTAGCAATTTGGGTCACTTACTACTCCTTAGATTCCAAGCACTAATTTCAACTTCTAATATCTCTTTCATCTCAAATTAGAATTCATCAAAAAATATACATAAAGTATAGTAAAAAAAATTCTTTTTCTAATCCTGGTTGCCAGTTTTTAATTGCTTTCTGTACATGTGCGATATATCCAAAAGAGTGACAGTAGATACAAAACTAACACCTTGACTTTGAGCACCTATAGCTCTTTTATAAAAATTCCTAATGACTCAAAATTTGTACTAAAATCATAGCCAAAAACCTAAAATTACCGACTTTAGCCTTTGATTTTTAAATCTCTTTAAAAGACTAATCCTAATCTCTAATATGGCCTCGAGTAGCCTCTTTGAAGCCTATTGGTTATGATTTTTGACTAATAGGAATAGAGATTTATATCATCTATCTCCATTCATTCATATGGGTATCCTAACTACCTTTTTTGATCCCAAAACTCTTCTTCCATCCCTTTTCATACAAGATTTATATATTACATGCTTTAAATATTAAATAAAAGAACCAAAATAAAACTTCAAAGGTCACTAATGTCTAATAAGGGTGATTCTAAATGTTTAAAAATTACTACTAATAAGATCATCTTCAAAAGTCACTATCAAAAGAAAATAAAGTTATATAAATTCTAATAGAAGCCATTTTAAACAACTTCTTTTCGAGGTAGTAATCTATCTACATCCTATACCAATAAAAATCCATTAACATGGCTCTTACCATGTTGTCTAGCATATTATCTATCAAATATATAAACATATTATTTTCACATGGTAGCCAAACCACAACACGACAATGGTCCTTATTGTAATTGAAAAAACTTATGTATTGAAGCATTATCTATTTTGGCAATCGTGCTTTTCATTTTGTGATTATGTTGCTTATTTGGACAATATTAAGTAGTGTGCTTAACTTTTTTATAACATAAGTACAAATCTTCTTGATAACATCAAATTTTTTCTTGCTCAATAAAGAATTTAAAATATATTGTATTAATTTATATTGATTCCAGCCTTTATAAATAAGTTTTTGAAAACTTGGAAGCTGTAATTAATACTTGGCTTATTTCTCTCCTGCCAAGTCTTTGTTTTTGATGCCTTTCAAATAATTGATTGTTGCTTGTAATGGCTTAAGTAATAAATTATTCCTAAGATTTTGCTTTTGGCATTATTAATAATAAATCTTTGATATTATTCTTCAATCCATAATAAAATTGATTAATAAGGACTTTATCATTTCAATCTACATTGTAAGGAAGGTTTTAGAATTGAGTAGTATATATAGTAGCTGGTAATGATTCTTGTCGTAAAGATAAGAGCTTAATCTCTGCTATTATTTTTCAATCACTATCTTTACATATAATTATAAATATTTTTAAGAATGAATTCAAATCATAAAATAATTGTGAATCTTTTTCTATTGATGATACAAACTAAGAGAGCACTTTCAGATAGAAGTGCGTCTATAAATCCTTCAAAACACAATAATAGAAGTAAAGTAATCTGCTCACTTTTAAAACAAGACAAGAATAATAAATTATGACTCTTATCAAACTATCAAGGATATGAATCTCAAAGAATTAAAATATTAATATAAACTTGTGTCACTTAAAAAGACTAAAAAATCAGTAAAAGATGATATAATATTAAATTAGAATGGCTATTGCCAAAGACAAGAAGACTTAGAAAGTCTTGAGATAAGATTAAAGACTAAAAAGGCATTGAGAAAAACAAAGAAGGCTTCACTCTTGACTCTATATATACTCTTAACTAGGAATTATGTAGCAATATCCTATAGGACTTCCAAAACATGTTGACTTTGTAAGATACGTATCTTAACTTGCAAGACAAGTTTTTTCTATCTATACCAGATAATTAGCTTATTCCGCAATCTATCAACACGTAGTTAACTTATTAATCAAGTTTCTAACCTATCAATCAGCTACAAATACATGTAAAGTCAAAAAAACATCTATGAAGCTTCTAGAAAGCTTCTTTAAAAAATGTTATGAAATAAATTTATTTTTATCTACTTCTATTTAATCATAAAAGTAAATATTAGAATAAATGTGTATATTTATGATACAAGCTAAGATCTACACTAAAATGGATCTCCATAGAGTGTATAATTTAGTGTAGATTAAAGAAAGAAATGAATAGAAGATAACTTTTTGGATAAGGTACAAACATTTTGAATATAATGTCATGCCTTTTGGATTGATAAATGCTCCAGCTATATTTTAGCATTTGGTGAATGATATTTTTTGAAAATTCTTAGACAAGTTTATTATCTATTATCTTGATGATATCTTACTTTATTTCAAGTTTATTAAAGAACATAAAAAACATGTGTGGTTAGTCTTACAAAAGTTACAAGATATAGGATTTTATGCCAAATTCAAAAAATATATATTCCATCAATCAAAAATATAATATATTATATCCAATGAAGGCCTATTGTTGGATCCAAAAAAAATTCAAGCTGTACTAGAATAGATACCTCTAAAGACAATATGAAATGTACAATATTTCTTTGGATTTGCCAATTTCAATTAGATATTTATCAAAAATTACTCTCAAATTACTACTCTTTTCACTTCGTTGACATCCAAAGATAAATTGAAATGGAGATGTCAAGCAAAAAAAGGCTTTTCAAGATTTGAAGATAGCTTTTACTATAACTCCAATTTTATTACATCCAAATTTTACAAAAGCTTTCTATTTGGAGGCTATTACTTCCAATTTTGTATTAGGAGTTGTATTATCACATATGAAAAAGGATAGAAAGCTCCACCCAATCACATGCTATTCTAAAAAGTTTTAAGTTTTAGAGATATATACTTCTAGAACTTTTTAAGTTTTAGAGATATATACTTCTAAAAATATGAAGTTTTAAGTTTTAGAGATACTTCTACAGCTACTATCAATCTCAAATCAACCATAGTCTTTAATATCAATAGATTCCATCATTGATTTACTACCATCAACTACATTTGATACTATCTATATTATTGTAGATTGACTTATAAAGATGGGATATTTTGTTCTATGTAAAAAGATATTTTTTGGAGAAGAAATGACAAGGCTCTTTTTTAATAATATATATATCATCATAGCCAATCTGATGAAATCATTTTTAATTAAGGACCTCAATTTATATTAAATTTTTGAAAATATTTTTTCGAAATATTCAAGTTAGATATCAAACTTTCTTCTACCTTTTACTATTAAATAGATGGTCAAAAATAATGAGTCAATCAAGTTTTGGAGCAGTATTTGTAATATACCATTAACTATCAATAAGATGATTAGAACTCATATTTATCTTTAGTGGAGTTTTCTTATAATAATATCCTTCATGCTTCAACTCAATAAACACCATTTTACTCCAATTATGGTTATCATCTCAAGCTTGATTTATTAGAAATATCAAAAGATGAAAATCTAGCAACCAAAGATCTTATAAAATAATTGTTATAATTCCAAACAGTTATGAAGCTTCATTTACAAGTAGCTTAAGATTCTTATAAAGCATCTTCAAATAAATTTAAAAACAAATCTCTTACTTTATTAGTTGGAAATAAAGTATTGTTTCTTTGATGAAATATCAAGATCAATCAGCCTTACAATATGTTGGACTATCAAAGTTTAGAGCCATTTTGTATTAAAAAATAAATCAATTTAGTGGCTTATTGGTTGGATTTATCCACATCTATAAAGGTACATCCAATCTTTAATATTTCTTTATTAGAGATTTATTAAAAATCAACTATTCCAAAAAAAGTATAACCATCATTGCCTTGCATTGAAATAAATAATCATATGGAATATAAAGTAGAAAAGATCTTTGATTCTCAATAAAGACAAGACAAGTTAGAATTTTTTATTTGTTGGGGTAGCTATAATATCAATGAGCGTATATGAGAACTAATAAATAATCTAATTAATGCACCGCAAAAGGTACAAGAATTTTATCAATACCATCTTTAAAAATCTAAACCTATTTTAAAATGACTTCTCTTTTAAGCTATTTTTAAGATGTTGTATATATCAAAAAAAGTAGATATGAAATTGATACTTCTTATAGAACTTTGAGTTAGAAGGAGAGGTGATGTAAAAGGTATTTAATAAGAAGATTCTATTAGATTTCAAAAAGTTCTAATTTTTTTTTTTTTTTTTTTTTTTTTTTTTTAAAGATTCATAGAAGGTTTTAAAAAATTCTTAGAATATTTTAGTAAGTTCTAGAAAGTTCTAGAAAAATTAAAGAAGTTTTTTAAAAAGCTTCTTAGGATTGTTTTATCTTCAAGTAAAATGAGAATTTCTTATGAAGCTTTTTAAAGATGCTTCATCTTGAAGCAATACGAAAACTTCTTACAAAGCTTCTTAATACTTAGTCAAGGCTCAGAGAATCCTTAGTCTCAACAATACATCTCTTGAAGCTCTAACTCACCTTTCTTGATCTTATACTCATTTGATTTAATCAAGTTCTTATTAGTTTTCATGTTATAACTTTTTGATTCAACTTCTTCTTTGATTTCATGTATAATATATTTATAACATCCTTAATTCAATTTTTATGTTATAAGTGCACATGATTCATGGCTAAGACTTTAATTGACTACAATTTGACAACTTATTAGTAACTTTGTTATGATACCATGATTTTTATAAATTTCATTTGCTTTTAAGTAATCCAATGGTGCATTGATCTACTTCTTAGTTAATTGGCCTTATATTGTTATAATTGTCATATTAATTCATCAAGTAAGTCAAGTATTTCTAACAATCAATAAAATTGTTCATCACAATCACCAATCACCACTTGTTCAAAATATTCCTCTCCAAAGCAACACAACCACTTGCTCAATAATGCAACTTCCACATAAAATGCAACTTTCGAATTAAAAGAGATGAAATGCAAATCTCATAGTGGTCATGGAAAAGAGAAAGAGGGGGCGTGTTGGAAATGGACCAGAAACCAACCGCTAGAATGTTCAGGTTTCTAACTTAGGGAGAATATGTAGGCAATTGAAATCTGTTTGAAGGCCGTGGTTGCAGCAGAGTTAACTGCAGTCAAAAAGATTCAACTTACATCTTCAACTTCAAGAGGTTGCAGAGAACCTATTCAACTTCTGAGCAAGCAATTCAAGCCAATTTCCTTCAAAACAAAAAATCCATTCCATAAACTACATTACCATTTCTTGGATAAATATCACAAGCAGAGAAAATTCTGGAAAGGGAGATGGCTACAAGGTCTGAACTGCAAGCTTACCTTGTGAGTTGGATTGCGGGATGCAGGTGCCCTCGTGGTCCTGGTGAACCCACAGCTTTCATTACAAGCTTCCAGTTCGACCTCTCGCCGAAGAAGACTCGGTAATAATCCTCTGCGCATGCCAGTCGTTCGTCCAAGCAGATGCCGACATTGAGCTGCTGAAACTCAGATGATGACACAAGTTTAGCCATCCCCTCTCAGCCCCGAGCCCTTCATCAGGGACATAGGAAAGATGTACAGAGCGCGTGGGCTGGTAACCGGAGGACTCTAAGACACGAATGGATTCCAGGTACTGTACGCCAACACTCTTCATGTCTTGAGCTCCCCTGCCATAGATGTTGCCCTCCCCATCCTAAAACAGAATCAACAATTGCATATAAGTGCAAAACTAACCATTTCTTGCAAAGTCAGATTAGTAAGAGACAATTCAGATAACAACATTGAGGAGAAGTTCACAAGACTAACCTCGAAATCCAAGAGTGGATCGTACTTCCATTTCAGCTTCTCAGCAGGAACCACGTCTGTGAGAGAGTTCAGCAGTAGTGAAGAAAGTGACGAGTTTAACCCAGCCCAAGGGATCAACACTGTGGACTTCTCCTTCACAATTTCCAGCTTCTGGGCTCGCAGACCTAACTCTGCTTGTGAAACGAGAAACTCCGTCACTGGTCCATAATTTTGGATTTGGGTGCGCAGCGTCTTTTCTCAAGTAGGCTTTCGATCTTGATACCGCATCATCGGATGGAGACTACTAACAGGAAGTAAATGACAAAGAAACCCACAATAATACTCAAGAAATGGATCCATCTACAAGGCTTATCCGTTACTGCTAATCAATTTCAAACCCGCTTTGCCAATCTCGCCGCGCATTGCCGAGAGTTTGCAGAGAGAATGATACTCCATGCGAAAAATGTGGGGTTCCTCCTACAACCCTGACAAGTACATTGACGGTCAGAAGCCAACACATGGATTCTATGTCCGGAAATGCCGCCCCGGTGAACATTTGAAGCTGGTTAGACTAAGTTGGCATGGGAACTCACTCAAAGAAAGCCAAGTGATCGGCGAAGTTCACGGCCTCAAAAGGAGACTTTCTCTAGATTTTATATTCGTATTTTTTGGTTTCCCTTCTTTTGTTTGGGCCCATTCTCCCTCTTATCAAGTATTGAGAACCTCGAGGCTTTACCTAGGGCGGTTGCCGGTGGAGCCAAGTGCAACTAATCGGATGCGGACGGTTGGCAAAGATTCAAACTAAATATGCGTCCAGGTGGCGACAAAGATGGACACCGACCAGTTCTTAACAACAAGTGAAACACGATGTCGGAAGACCCCAGTGTCGCACCAACTGGCACGTGCTCTAAAAATTAACAGGGGGCTTGGGAGATGCAGGATATAAAGTTGGACGGATATGACCAACTCCTCACCAAGTATCCAACTGGCACATTCTCATCTGGGTACTTCACGATCACCCTCTTGAAACACTTCACCAACGATCTGCTGCAATCGCTTTTTGAGTTGACTGATTCGACCGAGTTTATCCACATGTTGCTCATTGCCTCGAACGTGTTCCGATGCGGTTGACGCGCCTTGGATTTGGATACCTTTGTCATCAAGGTCTAGACCATTTCTAGTCTGTCACGTGTTTGATGCAGCGTAGTACCAAACCTAGAAGTTCTTGACAGTGATCCAATTGTTTGCGAGGTTGAAGAAGAGATTTTGTATTATTTCGGAGGGGATTTTCCATTCTTTGGGAAGTAGCTACAGGGTGAGGAGAGGAGCTTATTCTGTTAGAGAGACCAGCAAAATGTGTACCCCGTTAAATAGGAGAAAGAATAGGCTGGGGGAAGTGGGGCAGGATCTCGCAGTGGAGGTCTTCAACAAGTACTGCGAGAATGGGAAGATGGGTGCCGAGGCGTTGCTCCGATTTTTGCACGAGGAGCAGGGGGAGAGCAAGGCCACCCTTGAGGACGCCAAACATTTGCTGGAGGCTAATCGCAAGGAGAACAGCATAATCCCCAAGCTGCACAGTTTGGAGATGAAGTTGGAAGACTTTATCAGCTTCGTCGTCAATCCCAAGCTAAATGGGTCACTCAACACTCAGGTCAGCTTCTCGTGTCTTACCCTGGTCGATTATTATATGATAGAGTGACCTATTTTAAATGCATAACAACCGTGATTGCATCCGGGGGCCGATCCATCCTCTCTTTATTCTGCTTCGCATGCCCAGAAGGTGGGTTTCATCGATTGACGGTGGCTTGCCTTGGGGTTGCGCAGGTGCATCATGACATGACGCAGCCAGTTTCGCAGTACTGGATATTTACGGGCCACAACTCGTACTTGACTGGCAACCAGCTGAGCAGCGACAGCAGCGACGTTCCTATCATTAACGCACTGCGACGCGGCGTGCGGGTGATAGAATTGGACTTGTGGCCCGATGACAAAGGCAACATCAAGGTCACTCACGGAAAGTAGGTGCTCTACTCATGCGATCTTTCGAATTTGAGAGTTGCTTTGTTTTTTCGACAGTGCAATGAATGTAGTGAATTGGTTTTGATTAGTTTGATATTACAGCTGCATCACCCTGGCCATGATAATGCAACGATGTAGCAGTATCATTTGCATGGTTTTTCATATCTAATTCGTCAGTAGGCACCCCGTTAGGTTGGAGATGCGATGGCAGAAGTTGAGATTTGGTTGCTGTTAAAAGCAAATAGGGGAAAGCTACACTTCGTGTACTTCTTTACTGTAGTGAAGAATGTCTGTTGTTCTGGTTTATCATGTTTTCTCTATGTTGTGCAGCACACTGACTGATCCAGTGTCCTTCGAGAAGTGCTTGATTGCCATCAAGGCCAATGCGTTTGTCGCCTCGCAGTACCCCGTGTGTATAACCTTAGAAGATCATCTTACCTGCGCTTTACAGTCTATTGCTGCTGAGGTTTGTGACCTGTGACTTGCGACTTCTTTACTTCGCCTCATTAGGTTGTTAATCTCATGGTGGGCACCTACTCCGGTTGCCATTTATTCCTGGTTACGAAAATATTTAGAAAAAAGCAGTTGCGGCGCCAGTATTGATATCAATTTTTCGTTCAGATTATTAATCCTCCATATGTGCACAGATGTTGCTTCGAATCTTGGGACCAGCCCTGTATTATCCACCCACAGGTGAGGCACCGAAAGAGTTTCCCTCCCCCGAGTCACTGAAGGGGCGAATAATAGTCTCGACGAAGCCAGCCAAGGAATACCTTGAATCGACTGCTGTTGATAAGAAAGATGATGAGAAAAATGCTGAGCTGATGACTGAGATCAGGAGGGAGGGCCAGGAGAATGAGTCTTTAAGCGACACAGCTTCGAAGCTGAACATCAACAAGGTGATCACCTCTATTTGGTTAAAATGTCGAAATGGTTTGGTGCACATTAGTTTCTAGGACTGTTTCTACCGACTAGATTGAGCTGAATTTCTCCTTCATGTTCTGTTGTAGGAGAACGCAGCACCAGAAGTCGACAAGGCAGGTGAGGACAGCGATAGTGACGATGACGATTCAAAGAAAAACCCCGAGTATTCTCGTCTTATCACAATCCGACAGGTGAAACCCATGAAGGGAACGTCTTTGAAGGATCGACTGGTGATTGAAGATACAGTAAAGCGAATCAGTCTTGCTGAGTCGAAATTGGAAGATGTTGCTGATCAGTTTCCGGAGATACTGGTCCAGTAAGGCATCTGTACTCAACTTACTATTTATCTTTAAGTTTATCTTAGAGATCGCAATGATAGTCTTCAGGATCATGTGATAAATAATTTGCTAGGATGTTTCAACTTTCTGTGGTTCACTGTCGTTTTGTTTATCCTAGAGTAATGAAATTCCTGTACATGAGTACAAAATAGTGCTGTTTCTCAAACGATGGCATTCTTTGCTAGGTTTACGCAGCGAAACATTTTACGCGTGTATCCTGATGGAACTCGAATCAACTCTTCCAACTACAATCCTGTTCTGGCTTGGAATCACGGAGCCCAAATGGTGGCCCAAAACATGCAGGTACTGCTTTTTTCTCCTCAGTTAATTACTGAAATATTGTGAAGTATGCAATGTTCTGTGGGTAGTCTAACGTAAGGCTTGACCATCATGCAAACCATTGTTACTATGTCATGAATAATATTGAATATTATTACGAGTACTCTTTGTGAAAACGGTACTGAATATCACTGTTGCTAGAATTTATGGCCGCAGGAATTGATTCTAGCTTTTGTTTATGTATTCTAGGTTCTGAGTAATCTGTAGATTTGGCATTTTTACACATACATGTGTGTGTTTGTGTCTTGCAGGGCTATGGCAAGGAGCTTTGGCTATCTCATGGCAAGTTTAGAGCAAATGGAGGGTGTGGGTATATTCTGAAGCCTAAATTTCTCAGGGAAAATTTGCCTACTGGTCAGATTTTCAGCCCCTCAGCGAAGAAAAACGTGGAAATGGTTTTGAGGGTGAGTTTGTCTTAAATTGTTCTTTTAACACTTAATGAACTGTTATACCCAGTTGAAATCGGAAAATGTCAAATTATATCGATGTGAAACAACTAAATGTGGTCTTCCATCTAACTGCTTGATTCAATGTTTGTTGCTCTTCCTGTCCAATACGGTGATAACTATCAGCTTGGCTTGTGGTTTATTTATTTATTGTCCTTTTCCTGGATTTTAGGTGAAAGTGATGACGAGCCCGGGATGGAAGGAAACATTTTCCAAACGTCATTTTGACCTTTTCTCAGCACCAGACTTCTTCACCAGGGTGAGATTCTCAGCTTTATTTATATTTTGTAGCTGAACCATATCCATTTTATGGTCTCCCAGAGAAAGGAACTTGTTTAAACTTACGCACATCATTTGAATATGTCGGTGTTCTTGAGTTGCTTTTCAGCCAAATACTTATCATAGAAATGCATGAAATTTCGTTGAATTATAGAAAATTATTCCATTGGCCTTCATTGGCTCACAAAAAATTGGACTGGGTCTGCAGTTGTTGATTGCAGGAGTCCGTGATGACATCGCTAAGGCGAAGACGCAGCCTGTAAAAGACACCTGGAATCCGCACTGGAACGAGGAATTTGATTTCTCACTGAGAGTCCCTGAGCTGGCATTGCTCCGTGTTGAAGTCAGAGAGGATGACGGTGGAACGAAAGACGGGTTCGCAGGCCAGACCTGCCTACCCATCTCCGAGATCAAAGACGGATATCGGTGCGAGATCCTATTTGACAAGACAGGCGCTGAAATACCTGGTGTGAAGATCCTGTTCCACTTCCAAAAACTTCTCCTGCACAAATCTACATGTCCAAGTACTTTGCTCACCGATTCACACCCCCATCATGCGGTGCACCCCTCTGAAGCATCAACCAAACTTTAGGACACCTGGTTTATTGCATGTTTGAGAGCGGGTTTGCCAACAGGTTTCAAGGAACTAGTGGTGGATGTGCATTCGTTGCCTTTGCAGTAAAACGTTAAGTTTATCCAAAGGATCAGTGAGAGCGTTTCCTTCTGCGACACTACTGCCGGTTTGGATCTCTTTTTGAAGGTCTGATCAGATTATTTGACCTAAAATGAATCAGGTATGGTAAATACAGTTGCAGACTCGTAGAAACCTGAAACTGATTGGCTATTGCTCAGTACCTAATACTCCACCCCTTTTGCTATGTATCGTCAAGGCATTCATGCTACAGTGTTTCAGAGTGCAACTTTATAATCCTTCAAACAAGCTAATGTACAACACCTTGTTTGGATTAAATATGACTCTAATCTCTGATTTTTCCGACACGGAGAACACTTTCTTCACTAAATCTCTGCTGAGTATGTAGCTTCTCCACTACTTGTAAAAGCTCTTGAACTGTAGTTAACAAAAGGGCATCATATTACCAGAGTTGTGCCTGTGAAGAATTTATTTCACTGGAGTTGTATTCTACATTTTAAAAGAAGTTTTGAATATATCGACTTTTTAATATTTTTATTTCTCACGTACCCATTTTAACTCTATCTTTGACAGCAGCAAAAACAAACGACAAATTTTAAATCTAAATAAATATATAAGGAGAAAGACGGTAATTCACTTTGTGTTTCCTTCCCTTTTACAGTTAAAGTAACAATCATTTAAACCTGTGTAATCAGTGGTCTATTATCATAATTGATAACTCTTACTCAGAGTAGATTCTACAACCATCTCTGATTTGCTAATGTATGCTATCAAATAATCCTTCAGTATCATTCTACATCAAAACTTATTTAATTAATTTTCATCAAAAGGATGATTTCTCCTACCATAATTTCTTTAAACGTCTACTGAAACTTTGATGAATTTATTCCAATGAGGAACCTTGTTGTGTAGGCGTGTATATATATATATATATATATATATATAAATAAATAAAAGGTTTCTCATGTGGTTGAGAAACTACCAGTACTACTTTATGGCCTAAGAAGAATTAAATTAATCTTCAAACTTTGGTGCAGACCACATTTTCCATTTTTCACTACATTTATGTTCAAAATATTAAATCATACAATAGTACTTATTCTTTTGGTTTTCTTGTCTCATAGATTATAGTCTTATTTAACCATGTGTTAAATTTTATTTTCAAAATAAAAAGAGAAAACAAAAAACTACATTAAATCTCCTATTCAGCAACTAAATACACTCTTGTTAGGAACTGTTGAGAATGTTTAGAAAGACACAAGAGTAATAGTAATTCATATACACACACAAGAGTAGTAGTAAGTCATACACACACAAGAGTAGTAGTAAGTCATACACACACAAGAGTAGTAGTAAGTCATACACACAAGAGGGTTTTTAAGGAGAGAGAGCTTCACACACACAAATCTATTAATCTGGTTGTGTCTTGTATACAAGAAGAAAAAAGAGGAGAGGATAAACAATACTTCTCCACTACACTCTAAACACTGTAGCTATGGTAATTACTGTAGACTATAGTAAATATTATGGAGAGCTCCAGCTACATTTAATGATCTCAACACTCCTCCTCGCTCATCATAATATTTACATAATATAAAATTTGTATAGAATTATGATCTATACTTTTCTGTGATCTTGTAAGATCAGCAATTGTTGCCTCATTAAAACCTTATCTAGAAAAACCTTATTTTATTTAAAGACAAAACCATAGATGAAGGAAAAAAGAGTACAACATCATTTTTTTTAATTATTTAAAGAGCTCATTAACTTTCATATTCAAGAAAAGCAAGTCGCTGCATACCAATGCCATAAGTAAGTCGATGATGGTTGCTTAATGGAAGAGCTTTGGTGAAGAGATCAACAAGGTTATTTGTAGATTTAATTTTCTTAACTATAAAAGCTTGATCAGTAATCAAGTCATGAGTATAACTAAAATACTTTGGATCAATATGCTTTGTCCTATTGCCTTTAATGAAACCAACTTGCATCTGTGCAATACAAGCACTATTATCTTCATGCAAGATAGTTGGAGAATCATCATATGAAAATCCACAAGTTGTTTGAATAAATTTATCAATTAATCGCAACCAAATACATTCTTGAGATGCTTCATGTAAGGCAATAATTTTTGCATGGTTGGATGAAGTTGCAGTTATTGTTTGTTTCACTGATTTTGATGATATTGTAGCTCCATGTCTTAAAAATACATATCCTGTTTGAGATTTAGCTGTTGCAATATCAGATTTATATACTACATCACAATATCCAACCAATTTTGGATCCACCAATTTTTTGTAGTATAATCCTAAGTCTTCAATAGCTTTTAAATAACGTAATAAATATTTGATGCCATTCCAATGTCATATTGATGGACGTGCACTATTTCTTGCAAGAACACTAACTACAAATGTAATATCTGATCTTGTAGATATAGCTAAATACAAAAGTGCTCCAACCGTTGCGAGGTATGGATATTGGTTTCTTAATATTTCTTCCTCCTCCTCGCATGGACGGTATGGATCATGACCATCATGACCACATCCAACCATTGGTGTGGACAATGGATAAGCATCAATCATATTAAATCTTCGCAAGATTCGTCTAATATACGTTAGTTGATAGAAAAAAATGCTACCATTTGTTAGATGCATAATCTGAAGACCAATGCAGAAAGTTATTTTTTTTAGCATTTTCATCTCAAATTCATGTATAAGTAGGTTTGTAGCTGTAACACGTGCAGATGTAGTACCCATTAGGTTAAGATCATCAACATATACATCGATAATTACAAAACTAGATTTATCTCGTTTTATAAACAAATAAGGGATTAGTGGATCACTTATAAAATTATTTGTAATTAAATAATCTCGAAGACGTTGATACTACATTCGTCCAGATTATTTTAAACCATACAAGGCCTTACATAATTTAATACCATGATATTTTCCTGCAGCGGGTTGATTTGAAGTTCCTGTTTCTAAGTCAAGTCAAACTTTCATATAAATATTTGTATCAAGAGAACTATATAGATATGCAGTTACTACATCCATCAAATGCATCTCAAGGGTGGCATGAACTATCATTCCAATAATATATCAAAATGTAATTGAATCCATGACTGGAGAATATATGGATTCATAATCAATGCCAAATCGTTGAATAAATTCTTGAGCAACAAGACGAGCTTTATAGCGGGTTATTTGGCCTTGAGCATCTCGCTTGGATATTAATACCATTTTATATCCCATAGGGCGAGATGTAAGAGTGTCTACAATTGGACCAAAGACTTTTCTCTTACGCAAAGAGATATACTCCTCCTCAATAGCAGTTTTTTATTTTGACCAATCTGAGTGACGCATCACCTCTTCGATGGTTTGAGGTTCAAGATCATCTTCTTCATAAAAAAGGGCTTCTATAATCATATATGTAAATGATTCATCTACCGTAATAGATGGTGTGTACCAAATATCATCTGTAGCACAATACAAAATAGATAATTCTTCATTCAACTTGTTCTTATTCCTTCCAATTCAAAGATTATTTTTCATAGGAATTGAAGGTACATTATGTATAGATATATCATCATGAATTGGTAGTCCTACAAGATGAGTGGAAATTTCTTGAGAAATAATACCAGGCTTAATTAATTTTATAGCTTTCTTCTTATGTGGTTGCTTATCTGGTCCACGAGTTCTTTTAGTTGTTGTTGTTATACCTTGAGGTATTGTAGTCAATGGCACTACAATCTGAGCAAGTGCATTCTGAGCCTCATTAATAGGAACTCTTGTAATTCTACGTGCATCATTGAAGCCATCAAATATTTCATCCATGATCCATTTTAAATACAAAATCTTAGCAACTTTAGTTCCTGCTAAAGATGTCCTAGGATTGGGATTTATTGTAAACGTTTCTGATGCTTCAAATATGAATACTTTATTTCTTTGTTGTTTAGATACTCCTCCTTGAAGAGATGGGAATACAGTTTCTTCAAAATGACAATTTTGTAAACGTGCACGTAATAATGTGCCAGTTGATGGATCAACAATACGAATAATGCTTGGTGAATCAAAACCAATATATATACCTTCTTGTCGATGAGCTCCAATGGTACGTCGTTGAGGTTTTAGTACTGGAATCCAAGCACAGCAACCAAATACTTGTAAATGAGATATATTTAGAATACAACCCGAAATGAGCTCATGTGGTGAAACAATTTTAAGAGAAGAGGGGTGGAGGCATATTAATACTGCAGCATGTAAAACTGCATGACCCCACATAGATGCAAGTAGATTTACGTGAAGGAGGAGTCGCCGGATAATGAGTTGTATACGCTTTATAAGTGACTCTACAAGTCCATTTTGAGCATGTTCATATGGAATACAATATGTCAAGTCAATTCCTGTTGCAGTACAATAGTCTTCAAAAGACTTTGATGCAAATTCTTTTGCATTATCCATACGCAATATTTTTATAGGATAATCAGGAAAATGTGCCCAAAAGCGAATAAGGATGGATATAAGATTGGCAAACACCATGTTTCGAGTTGATAATAATGAAATATGTGATTGTTTACCTGATGCATCAACAAGGACTAAAAAATAATGAAATGGTCCTGATATTGGATTAATAGGATCACAAATATCACCATACAATCTTTCAAGCATTGGTGGTAATTCTTGTGGAAGTTTCCAAATTGAAGGCCGAGTAATCATTTTACCTTGCACGCATGCATAACATAATTTCATAGAGTCTACATCTGCAGACTTTAAATTGTGTCCAGTTATACATGGAATGATCTTTCTAAATAATGTAGATTTTGGATGTCTCAATCATCCATGTCAGAGAAAAATACGACTTACTGAGATAGATGATGAAAAATTAAATATAATGGGAGGCCGAATCACAATTTGGTATAAACCATTTTCTGTAGCAAAAGCTTTTTCAACAGCTTTATGGTTCTTCACAAGAATCAAAACCTCTTTTTTATTTAAAGTGGCGATCGAGAGGTGATAACCATTAATACGCACATCTCGGTAGCTGATCAGATTCCAAGGTGCTGAGGGTACAAACATCACATGTTTATATTTTATGATGGAATCCACAGATAATTTTACCATCGCTGTGCCCTCTTGAAAATAAAACGCATTTGCTCCAGCCATAGTCATCATATTTTTAGTTTGTCAAGTTGAAGATTTTTCAATAAAAAATCGTCTATCTCGCAAGATAGTATGTGTTGTTGCAGAATCAATGAGTGTATCATTTGATTTATTATTAGAGGTTCTATCATTCATATAAGCCTCTAAGTCATCAATACCAATTGAATCCATGGACGCATCCATGATATGAACTTCACGAGCCTTAGCTCATAATTTCTTATTTTCTTAGAATATTTTAATAAAATATTTTGAAGTACGACACGCATGTGCTAAATATCCAATCATTCCACACTTATGGTAAGAACGCATCTTTGATTTTTATTTTCTACTATAATTAATAGTAGAACGTTTATTCTTTCCATATGGATAGAAATG